TCAGGCTGCAAGACGTGGGCGGCCCGTTGCTGCGGGAGGGTTGGGGTAGCAGCTGTTTGACAGGCAATGTCATCGACCTGCGGGCTGCAGGAGCAGCCAGCGATTTACTGTTCAGGAGGGTACGGAACAGGCACATGCACGAGGCAAAGTCCGCTCCTCTGCGCGCAACTCCACTTTATAGCTACTACCTGAACCAACGTGTTCCACAGACGGCACTGGAAAGAGCCGAATGCTCTTTTAAGACACCACGGACCCAGGGCTACGTGGCCCCCAAGGCCTCCACAGCCTAAAGCCCGGACCCCACGACCACAGATGAACTAGATTTAGAGAAACCACTTGGCAGCAGAGCTTCATCTTCAATTTATTGGGCAACAAGCGTAAATAACTCTCTCCCCGAGTTCCTCTAAACACAATTACAACACATGAAACTGAATGATGTTGTCATAAACACAGCTGCTGTTGTTCAAACATCGATGTCCCCCCTCCTCCCTAACCAAAGGCTATTGCTTCCTTGTCCAACAGAAAAAACAGGTCGGGAAAACAGAACCAAACACTTTAAGCAGGCGTGGCTGCTCAGCCCCATTTTGTTTGCAGCACTACCCCTAACCGGGCACAAGCCTGACTCGGCCTTGGACCCCGCGGCAGCACTCCCCGCGCAACCACGACAGCCAAGAAACAAATAAAAGTGGGTTTTGAGCTCAAAGTACCGCTGCTATTCCACGTACAACTAGCGCGGTATCTAACGGTGCGTTAGCGGAAGAAGCGAGCAGCTCCTGACGCTCACGTTACCAGGCAGCACCTCGCTAGGAGGCTTCAGGCTGTCATTTTCTAGCAAGACCCGTCCGTGGCTGCAGAGGACTATCATCTTCAGAGCGCTGCCCGTTTCCCGAAGAAAGGTCGCCCGTCCCTTCGTCAGCTCGGTGTTCTCGGTGCGGCGCTGACAGCGGTGACGCTGCCGGTGAAGAGCAGCCAGACAGCGCCTGCTCCCACACAGCCCCCCCTTCTGAAAGGGAACTTGCTTCACTCCACACACGACTTGAAGTCAATTAAGGATTCCCAAACGTGAGCGAAACCGACCGCGCACCTCGGCACACCTGCAAGGTCCGCGCACCCTCACACCAAGAGAGTAAGGAAGCGAGGGCATCGCCTCCAGCAGGGAGAGAAAAAGCGGTGTGTACTAACACTGGCTAAAGAGAACCTCTACCTCTTCAACACAGGCCCGCCCCTTTGCTCCCTAAAGCGCTACAGGACTCCAGGCAGACAGAGAAGACGGGTTCCTGTGTGCCTTCAGAAAGTGCCGTTGATCTGCCGCACGCTTCACCCGGACCGGCTTCTCCAGGCCAGCAAGAGGAACATGGCTGCCCACAGGTCTTCGTACTCAAGGTTCGCCAAAAAGCACATCTTCATTTTGGTTTCCACCCGGCTTTTATCCACCAGTCCGTCCAGGAGCAACGTGGCCGCAGACTGGCAGAGAAGCCAGGCGATCATCTGGTCGGGCTTCAGGGTCTCGGACGCCAGAACGCTCTCGCCCCAGAGGCTTAGGTGAAGCACGTTAGCGGCAACTCTAGCAGACAACCTCTGCAAAGGGAAGGAGAGGGAAGATCAGCTCACCCTGCCGCACCCACGTCCCACCGCTAGCCTGTAGCGCCTGCGCTGCCCAAAGTGCCCCAGGCCTCCTCCGAGGCACCAACCACACTGTGAATTGAAAAGCTCCTTGTGACTATTAATATCGGCTGCATGTAACCCCCCAATTCAAGGTCCAGTCCCCAACAGAAACAGCCCTGAAATCCCCAAACCTCTTTAGTGCCACACGGGAGAGGCGGCGCCGTGCTTCAGCAAAGACTTTTTGTTTGTCTTTGATCGTTATCTCGGCTGCAGTGATATCGGGAGGACAGTCCTGCCCGCGGAACCCTCCGGGGTGAAACGATCTACAAACGATACTCCCAAAGACCGGCTAGAGGACTTCTCCAAGACAACAGCTTCTTACCTTGTTGGGATCCCTCTGAAGTAGCATCTTTACCACTTGCTTCACCTCAAGGGGCACGTGATCGGGCAGGCTTGGCAGCTGGTCTTCACGGTAACTTCTGCTTTCCAGAGTCCACTCCCCACGGCCGTAGAAAGGATTGGCCAGGCCAAGGATTTCATAGGCGATCGCTCCAACAGCCCAAGCATCGGCTTTACTGTAGTTGATCACCGTGCCCGGACCAGGCGACGCTGTGATCACCTGTGACAGAGATGGGGATGTTCAAGCACACCGCTCTAGCGCGGGCTCTGTGCCAAAACTAACCTTCAGGAGTCGAGTCAGCACTTCTGCTGGAAGAAACCGAGAGAGGCTGAAACCGAAGCTCGGTCTCATCCAAATCTCTAGCATTAATATTCCCTGCTGGCATGCGCTAAGACTTCGGCACTGCCCAGCCCACCAGGAGGAGTCTGGTCCTTGTGCCTAGGCTGGAGTCGTTGCCACAGAGTCCCAAGGGCTATTTATTTCACGCTGGGATTTCAGACAGGCAGGATGAACAAGCAGTACTGCGCCGGCACGTATGCAACGCAAGGCGCTGCAGGTCAAGCAGACAGCTAAGGGTGTCCTCGCTTGCACTACAGTAACCATCAGAGAATTAGAAAGGACCTGTAAATCATTTCACAACCGCCTTGAACTTCACCCAGAAACTACTGTCGCAACACAAGGACTGCTGCATCGACTGCTTTAATAACTACACAGAAAGGGGCCCGAAAATAGACCGAAGAGGAATTTTTTTGGTCGGAAAGGTCAATTCTGCCTCATAACACTTTTAACACCAACCGATTACGTTTCCCCTTTCAGCGCTCAAGGTGTCTGTCAGACAACTGCTCAGCGCAGGACTGAAGAGGACCCCTTTTACTAGCACAGAGGTGTTCAGCAAGCACCACTCAAGTCAGGGCACGGACCTCCTACGCCGCTTTACGGGACACGGCTCCCCACGGCGGAGCGTAGGGCGAGATTAGCTACGCAGCCACCAGCTACGGGTCCTGTCTGGCGTGACCGAGTTACGCCAATAGGGAGGAACAGGTGGAGAACGGCGGATCCGGTGGCAGAGGCCTTCAGCAGGCGCTCCTGAGAACGCAGCCCAGCAGAGACCACGCAAGGAAGTTTCGGCGTGTGCATGTGGGGGAAGGCTCGGGGGCAAACCACAGCAAAGGGAGGTGTGCGCACACCCTCCGCTGCTTCTGGACTTAACCCCGGCCTTTTTCAAGTTCCTGTCACAGCCCACACCATCAGGCTGAAATGTTTTAGCCCCGACAGCAGGACAAACAGACAACCAGCAACACAAACCGGGGGATTTACCTCGGGTGCCATGAGACAGCCGTTGCCGCCCCGATCCACGTAAGAGCTGGTGAAAGGCAGCCTCAGGCCGATGTTTTCATCCGCCAAACAGCAACCAAAGTCCGTGATGACCAGCCAGGGGCAGCCAGCTGCAAACGACACGGGGCCAGCAGAGTAAGTGTCCGGTTCGGGAGGGCCTGGCTCTACTAGGCACCGCATCACATGGACACCAGCGACAGCCTCCTGGATCAATCTCAACACCCCCAGGAATCACCACGACCACACCCTGTTTTCCTGCTTCGTCTCTGCATTATTAGGTTTTTAGGTGCATTGGCTTTATTAAAACAAACCTTGTTCTTCCTTCTCCTCTTTAGAGGGCATCAGCTCTCCCCACGGAACGTGTCTGTGACAAAATGTCATGGATACCATTAAAATGAAAACACATAAGGTTAGAGACTCATCCATGATGGAGACATACATTCATTTTTTTCCCTTTGCTTTTATCTATAGCAAAAGCTATCGACATCTAGACATATACTCAGCTACAGCAAAAGGTTGGAGAAACTGCATTAGTTAATAGTCCTTGTCCTGATGACAAGTCAAACATTGCAAAGCAGAACCATTACTGCTTGTAACGGGTCTGCG